GGAGCTCCGCTTACCTGGTCGTCGGCGCTGGTGCGCGCCGGCGGGAAAGATCGAAAGGGGGCAGAAGGGTGCGGGGCTTTCGACGGTGAGAGGATGGGGGCTAAATAGGGCAACCGAATTGACGAGAGGTGAGCCGAAATCCTTCCGTCGATTTTTTGGAGACGTGCGCGAGCTCGCGCCATCTCCCTGCTCGCACGAGCTGCGCACCGCATTCCACTCCCCCCTCGCACGAGTCTGGCTCTGAAGAAACTGCCAATCTGAGCGTAGGTCACAGGCCTGGCTGGGAGTGCTTTAAAATTTGTGCCATGCATGCTGAACAGTGTATACAAGTCAACCAAACAGACTGATTTAATTCCACGCGGACCTGATTAGCCCAAATGCGGGCAACCAAACGCGTCCTTAGCTTCCCATTTGGGTGGGTCCGTTGGAGCTGCCCTTACCGCTAGAGAACCCGTTGACTAGTTTTCCCGTGCTCGGATCTCCGATTATCGCCGCATCCTTGCCTCCATGGTTGGTCTTCCCCCTCCTACGGTGTCCTTTATTCTTCCTCCGCTGTGTTTGTTGATTTCAAGATGATGGATCGAATAATTCATCTTCTCTATGCTTTGATTTCTTTGTGCAGGCGGAGATGGGTTCTTCGCTGGCAGTCACGGGCGCCGCCATGGATGCCCCGGTGAGTTCTTCGCTGGCCGAGATGGGCGCCATGAATGCTCCAGTGAGTTCTTCCCTTGGGGTCATGGGCTCTCTTCTCAGGAAGATAGATTCGCTGCTGCCTCTGGATTACCGGCTGCGAGGGCCACTCAAGGACAGAGTCGCGCTCCTCAAAGTAGATCTGGAAGAAATCAGCGTCGCCCTTGTGGAGCAGTCAATGGTAGATTCCCCCAATGAAATGGCAAAATACTGGATGAATGAGGTGCGTGAACTTTGCTATGACATCGAGGATTTCATCGACGACATGATGTTGACGCACGCCGATGCCAAGATGAGGTCGGTGCAGAGCTTCAAGGTTGGCCGTGTCAAGATCTCTTGGCTTCCCAAGACGGTGAGGCAGTGCACGAGGGCCACCAAGATCGCAGAACTCAGGGACCTGGTGCGGGAGGCGATTGAACGACATGGAAGGTATCTTGATGGTTGCACCTCGAGTTCTAGATCTCTGTTCACTGTGTACGGCCATATTCCATTGATGTATACAGAGGCTGCAAACTACCTTGTTGGTGTCGACGACGCCAAGACAAAACTTATCAAGTGGATCACCAACGAGGAGCAGCATCCGTTGTCAGAGGCTGCAAACTACCTTGTTGGTGTCAACGATGCGAAGACAAAGCTTATCAAGTTGCTCACCGATGAGAAGGAGAAGAAGCTGAAAATTGTGGCCATAACTGGACATGCAGGGGTTGGCAAGACCACGCTTGCAAAACAGCTGTACCATGAAGTTGGGCAGCAATTCGAGTGCCGCGCTTTCGTGCGGGCATCCCGGAAACCTGACATGACAAGACTGCTTGAGGGTATCCTCTCTCAAGTTGATCAGCATCGGTGCCCCTCTAATTCCTACACAGTGCAAAACCTCATTGACAATCTCACCAAACATCTCCAGAATAAGAGGTACTGCATTTTACTTTATTGCTTCGATGATTCACTTGTAATTACTGTAGTGCTTCTACAGTTATTGTTTCTATAGACACGATATAATTATAACTATGGATAGTCTCTTTTGCAGATATGTTATTGTAATTGATGATTTGTGGGAAACAATATCTTGGGATATTGTTGCCAGTGCTTTCCCGGAAGGTAATAACTGCAGTAGAATAATAACAACCACAGAAATTGCGGGTGTAGCTCTGGAATGCTGTGATTATCAATCTGATAATATTCTGAAGATGAAACCTCTTGGCGGGGAAGACTCTGGGAATCTGTTACTCAACCTGGTTTTTGGTCCTGAACGTCTGTGCCCTGAACAATTAAAGGGGGCTTTGGACATAATCATAGCAAAATGTGCTGGTTTGCCACTAGCAACCATTTGTGTATCTGGACTTTTAACAACCCAACCGGACAACCCGGAGCTATGGCAGCATGTGCAGGAATTTTTATGTTCCAATTTGAGTACAAATTCTACTTTGGAAGAGACACTGCAGGAAATACTAAAGCTTAGTTACATTAGTCTTCCTCACTATTTGAAGACATGTTTGATGTACCTGAGTGTGTATCCAGAGGGCTGCACAATGTGGAAGTTTGATTTGGCTAAGCAGTGGATAGCTGAAGGTTTCATCTGTGCGATAGAAGGAACAGACACAGGGGAAGTTGCAGATAGCTATTTTGAAGAGCTTGTCAACAGGGGAATGATCCAACCTGTGGATATCAACTACAATGGTGAGGTGTTGTCCTGCACACTGCACCACGCTGTACTTGATCTTATTACACTTGAGTCCACCGAAGAGAGATTTATCACTTCATTAGATTACTCACAGACCATCAGAGGACATTATAGCAAGGCTCGTCGGCTATCGCTTCACTTCAGCAATCCCAGATATGCAAAGAAACCAACTGGTCTAACACTGTCAAAAGTTCGATCAATTGGCTTTTTTGGAATCATCAAGTGTGTGCCTACAATTGTGGGATTTAAGCATCTCCGAGTTCTAATCCTGGAGTTTTGGGGTGATCAACGGGGGATTATGAGTTTTGATCTCACAAGAATTAGCAGATTTTTTCAGCTGAGATATTTGAAGATTTCATGTGATGCCAGTGTAGAGGTAGAACTACCAAGCCAGATGCGAATGCTGCGGTACTTGGAAACACTGATAATTGATGCAGCAGTGTCTGCAGTTCCATCAGATATTATTCATCTCCCAGGCTTGTTGCATCTCTCTCTTGGAGATAAGACGGATCTACCTGATGAGGTTGGTCGCATCAGATCTTTGCGTGCCCTACATTGTTTTGACCTTAGCAGTAACTCTGAAGACAGTGTACTGAGCCTTGGTGATCTGTTGAACCTGCAAGATCTTAACCTCACATACCGTACAGAAGAGTCAGATGATCATCTGAAGAGAAACCTGGCAGCTCTAGCCTCTTCTCTTGGGAAACTTGTGAATCTCAAATCTGTCACTCTGGCTCCTAGTGCTTCAGGAACGGCAATCTACCATGATGTATGGAGCAGCATGTCCTCTCTTCCTTTCTTCCTTCAGAGACTTGAGTTGTTGCCCCCCATTTGCATCTTCTCCAGGCTTCCGCAGTGCCTTGGGCAACTCCGCAAACTCTGTATTCTGACAGTTGTTGTTAACGAGCTGCTGATGGAAGATATGGATATAGTGACAGGATTGCCCGCCCTCACTGTTTTCTCACTCTATGTCCGGCAACCCACGTTAGAAAGTATCATCTTCAGAAAAAGGGCATTCCTAGGTCTCAAGTGTTTCAAATACACATGTGGTGTACTGTCCCTCGCCTTTCAGGAAGAAGCATTTCCCAATCTTTCGAGGCTCGAGCTAAGTTTCAATGCTCACAGAGGAGAACAGTATTATGATTTTCTTTCGGGCATTGGTTACCTGTTAAATCTCAAGGAAATTGCTGGAACGATTGGGGCAGCCACAGGTGCTGAAGAACCTGACAGGAGGGTTGCAGAGTCTGCTTTAAGAGATGCCATTCGCAAGCATCCAAGGTTTCCTAGTTACGACAACGTAAAAAGGGTAGGTTGGGTTCATGAAGAATACCAGCTTAGGTCCCAAGTGGAAGACTCATCAAGCGAAAAGCATGAAACACTGCAAAAACATGATGGAAGAAAAGAGGTAGACTCGTTACATGAACTGACTAGAATCTTACTGAAAGAAAGTGAGGGAGAAACAAAGCAATGTGCCGATAGCTGGTATGTAAACTACCCATTCCACGTATTTGCTCGTTTGTAAGAACTATTGTATCGTTTTATTTCAGAATAAACAAGGATGAGCTTCTTTATGACCATTTGGGCACACATTAAAACGTATCAAAATAAATTTACTGAACATAAATTTTCTTTTCAAGTCTTGTAGTGTTTTAACTGAACATAAGTTTTCTTGCTCTCAGGATTTCTCATTTTCCGGCCACTGAATCAATTATCTTCGATCAAATGAAGTCAGGTATACCTATACATTTCTGGTTCCACACTGAAATTTAATTTCTCCTAGAAAAACCTATCCATTTGTGAAAGAAGTTTAATAATCATTGCAAGTAGCAAATATACTAAAAAAATGACAGGACTATGTGGTGGTGGTGGTGGGGAAGGGGGGGGGGGGGTGCCCCACGGTGTCTTGTGGTATGCCATCAGCAAGATTCTCTCTGTTCTTAAAACTAAAAAACATTTATCTTTCAAACCACTAATCCGATTGACAATGTCATGTTAATATATTTCGATGACTTTTTCTTTAGTAATTGTCAGATTAATGTCAGTATGTCACTTGCCAGATTATAGTGACTTAGTTACCCGAGATTATAATAACCTTACAAAGAATACATCAGTAAGCCTGAAGCCTCCATCTTGACAACACCTGTCGCTACTCCTACCCCCTTGATGAAAACTCAATTTCTAGCTCTAGATAACTTTGGAATGCTTAAAACACATGTAAATTATTGCCTGGTAACCATACACTATTATTGTGGCAACTGTTTGTTGCTAATATGGCAACCACGCACTATAATTTGACAACTGGTGGCGACGATTCATCGAAACGTGGCAACATGGGATCTTGCTTTGAGTCCCACACCAGACGAACTTACTGGTGAAGACAGATCACGAACCAGGTTAACATGTGTGAGATAAATCATGTAAACAACGAATTTCACAATTAGTGCAACGTTGTTAGCATGAGGTGGAATATTCCTCTATGCATGCATTTGCTCTCCCTGTAGGGGGGATTCCCATTGGAAGGCACCGAACCACAAGACAAAGTGGGTATGTACCCCAGTTCCTTAACAAAATAAGAACCAAAAATCTTCAAGACTACACATTTAAGACCTATACTAGATTTGGGGCATTTTAAGGCGAGATCATTTGAAATTTCGGTTCCAATATTTTGGCTACACTAAGATCACTAAAAGTTCTGAAATTCTGGTTATCAAAGTTTTCAATGGCGTCAAATACTCAAATGACTGAAATTTTCACTCGAGATGGATTCAGATCTTACAATGGTTTGAGGAAATTTATAAAAAAAAACTGAATATTATTTGGAGTCACCAAATATTTTGACTGAAAGGAAAATATATCGATAGCTACTCAAATGAGTGAATAGTGAAAGTACACTGAAAATTGTCAAGTTA